AGGGATGGGATGAGGTATCTAGACTACCTGGGGCCAGGTTTAAAAAGTTTCCAAGGAATCTGGTAAACTTGGGTGCCCCCTTGTGGTTTTGAGTGGGATATATCCATTTACCTTCAGGTTGGAAGGCGAACATCTTTTCTTTATTGCACACCTGACTCTCTCTACAGCAGTGTCACACCAGAGCCATCCAATAAGAATCTGTATTCTAGGTGGCTGAAGAAATGGATCTGCGGTTTAAGAGTACTGACTACTCTTCAAGAGAACCCAGGTTCAAATCCCAGCACTCACGTGGCAGCCCACAACTGTCTGTAACTTCAAAATCTGATACCCTCACACAAACATACGTGCAGGTAAAGCACTGATGTGTATATAAAATGGTAAAAATAAATAAATTATTTAAAAACAGAATCGGCATTCTTGTTTTGGGTTAGGTTGATTCTGATGCTTTGAGACACAGTCTTGCTGTTGTAGCCATTGTTGTCTTGGAACTAACTCACCATTAAGGCCAGGCTGGTCTTGAACTTATTGCAATCCTCTTGCCTCTACCTCCCAAGTGTTGGGATTATAGATGTGTGCTCCCACACAGCTCAGAACACACACACACACACACTTTTTTTTTTTTTTTTTTTTTTTTTTTGCGACAAGGGTTCTCTGTGTAGCCCTGCCTATTCTGGAACTTACTCTGTAGACCAGGCTGGCCTTGAACTCACAAAGTTCTGCCTGAGCCGGGCGGTGGTGGTGCACGCCTTTAATCCCAACACTGGGGAGGCAGAGGCAGGCGGATCTCTGTGAGTTCAAGGCCAGGCTGGACCGACAGCCTCCCAAACAATACAGAGAAACCCTGTCTCGTAAAAAACCAAACCAAACAAACAAACAAAAACAAAAAAACCAAACAAAGTTCTGCCTGTCTCTGCCTTCTGAGTGCTGCCTGAATCTATGCTTTTGATAAGATTAGCCTACTAGAGTTTGAAGGCTATTGCTCTGCCTTCACTCAGGGTGACTCGAAACTCCATCTCTCTCCAAGAGGCAGAAGCAAAAATCACACAGGTTCCAGGTAGACCGGACACTCTAGAGCTGGGGATCTTAAACTTTTGAGTCATAACCCTGTATAGGATCATGAAACTGAACATGGGGGAGGGAGCAGCAAAAACAAACAAACAAACAAAAAAAGATTGGCAACCGTAAAAGGGTCTGAACATGCAACACTAGAAATTAATTCAAAACCAAATGTGTAATGAATCTAAGGGGATTCTGGCAGTACTATCCTGCATTGATCTGCAAGACTTCATTGTAGCTATGCTTCTAAACCGACAGCACGCTCCCTGTTCCCAGTGCTTACTGTCAAATCATGCAATGCCAAAGGCTCTGCCTGAAACAGCTTAGCTCAGATCCAAGATTATTATATGCCACAAATTGCTGTGTTTTTACTGCACACACCAAATTTTCTGCTGCTATAGAAACATAATATCTTGATAATAGAAAAACTATTTTTCTGCTATCATTCCTCAGAACTTATAAAATTAGTATGTCCTTGGATTGTATTGTTAGAATATTTGATTTTAAAAACTGTTCTTTGAGCTGGGTAGAGGTGGCACATGCCTTTAAACCCCACACTTGGGAGGCAGAGGCAGAGGCAGGTGGATCTCTGTGAGTTTGAGGCCAACATGTTTACAAAGTGAGTTCCAAGACAGCCAGGGCTACACAGAAAAACGTTGTCTCAAAAACAAGCAAGCAAACAATAATAAAAACAAAAACAAAAAAAAAGCAAGAAAAAAAGAAGTCCCCCAAACAACAACAAAACACTTTACTTTGAATTGCTGACATCTTTCACAAAAGATTATTACATTTATTTTGGCTTGGGATTTGCAGAGATTTTCCAACAATATCTGAAATGACTTAAACATACTACTGCCATTTTATAGTTAGTATGTATGAGTTTCTTTGTGGGAGGGGGGCTTTTGTTTCCAAGGCTTACCTTGTGAACTAGCTGTGTAGCTAAGGATGACTTTGAACTCCTGATCCTTCTGTCTCCACCGTGCAAGTGGTAGAATTACAGTGTGTGCCACCATGCCCAGCTGAACTATATGACTATATGAACTATATTCTTAGCATTGATGATTGTAAAAAGAAAACTGAAAGGCACTGAGAACAATTTTTATGTTAATTGATACTGTCATAGCATCTGTGATCCCCGCAGGCAAGATGGGAGGTAGGCAGGAGAGTTTCAATACTAGGTATGTGGCTCAACTTTGCCCAAATTGGGAGACTTGGACTCTGGTCTGGTAGACTTGCAGAGGCCCTCCAGACCACCAGTAGCTTCAGTGTACCTCCTTTTCAATGAGTATTTTGTGGGGATTGATTAATGAGGTTTTCATGTCATACATTATCAAATGTAGTTATTTGTGTAAAAATGAGCAAATGCACTCATCTCCTGTCTTTAATAAATGGCAGCACATACACCAAATGCTTCTTTTAAAAATGTTTCTTTATGATTGATCATCAGTAAATGCTTGGTTTGTGTACCTGTTTTGTTTGTTTGTTTCTATTATTATTATTATTATTATTGAGATAGGGTTTCTCTGTGTAACAGCCCTAGCTGTCCTGGCTCTGTAGACCAGGCTGGTCTTGAACTCACAGAGGCCTGCCTCTGCCTCCCCAGTGCTGGAATTAAAGGTGTGCTCCACCATTGCCCGGCCTGTGTACCTGTTTTATATACCTGGGTTTGAGTAGAATTTCTCAGGTGAAGAAAGGAAGTGAAGAGTATATAAGATCTAAAGACAGAGGAGGCTATGCCCTATTTCATTTTCCTAGACACTTCCCAAGTCAGTGTACCTACTACAACATTCGTGGTTCTCCTTGGTGTTTGGGCTCAACCTGCCCAAACCCTGGTAGCAAGGTTGAGGGTAATAGCTAGAGTAACACACCCTCAAGCCCCAGAGCTGTCCCATTCATCTTTCTGAGCTGCTTTGGTCTGCACATGGCATGTCTAGCAGACTGTATGAATGACGTGCAACCGAAGCCCCTTGGTAGAAGAAATGGGCTGAGTTATATAAACACCCTTTATAGGATTACCCCCAGGAGTATGGTCTACTTCTCAGTTCCCCCAGCTATTCTAGACTGCTTCTTCAAGTCATCTGGCTCTAAGGTGAACTTCTCCATGGAACATGACTTTACCCTAAAGAGATTCTCTTTCTGCATGGCTTCTGCATTCTGATTAGGGCCGGAGAGATGTTGCGTTACAAAGGTTGCATTAGGGCAGGGGATGAGTCAGTGGGTAAACCACTTGAGGACCTGAGTTCAGATCTCCAGAATGTATATAAATCAATATTAAATTAGCATCTTCAGTCTGGAGGTAAGTTGCAAACAGGTGTGCTCATGCCTGCACGGCCTTGTCAAGGAGTAAACTGTGGCTGGTGGAAGAGAATCGGGAATTCTGATGCTCCTGTGGTTTAAGTTAAGTTCCACACGAAACCCATGTGTCTGCGGGACACTTGTGAGGAAGAAGCTGAGATGCACTTGGGGGAAAAGTCTTCTCTAAAGGAAATGTTCTTATTTCTAGACTCTCTACCGGGCTGTGTATTGTTGGCAGGTAGGAAATACTTTCATATAATGGAACTGGTGTGTGCATACACATGTATTCCTCTCTCCTTCCCCGCCCCCTTTCTGTGTGTGTGTGTGTGTGTGTGTGTGTGTGTGTGTGTGTGTGTGTGTGTGCGCGCGCGTGCTGGTTGGCTGGCTGGCTGGCTGGCTGGCTGGGGGTCCCCTATTGCCAATCTTGTGCCTATCTCAGTACATTACTGGGAATAGGCTTAGCTTTGCCTGAGTTGGGAGACACGGGATCTCGGCTGGTAGCCTTATAGGCCCTTCAGACCATTCCTACTTTTTTTTGCCATTTTTTTTAGTGAGCTATACATTCCCCCCATCCCCTTCCTTCCTCCCCCTTTCCCCTTCCACACTCCTCCCTGCCCCCCACTTCTAATTTACTCAGGAGAATCTTGTCTTTTATTCCCTTCCTAGGTGGATCCATGTATGTCTCTCTTAGGGTCCTCTTTGTTACCTAGCTTCTCTGGGGTTGTGGACTGCAGGCTTGGTTGTCCTGTGCTTTATGTCTAATATTCACTTATGAGTGAGTACATATAATATTTGTCTTTCCGGGTCTGGATTACCTCACTCAGGATGGTTTTTTCTAGTTCTGTCCATTTGCCTGCAAATTTCAAGATGTCATTTTATTTTTTTAATGCTAAGTAGTACTCCGTTGTGTAAATGTACTATATTTTCTTTGTCCATTCTTTGACTGAGGGGCATCTAGGTTGATTCTAGGTTCTGGCTATTATGAATAATGCTGATAAGAACATAGTTGAGCAACGTCCTTGTGGTGTGAGTGTGCATCCTTTGGGTATATGCCCAAAAGTGGCATTGCTGGGTCTTGAGGTAGATCGGATTCCCAAGTTTCTGAGAAACCACCATACTAATTTCCACAGCGGCTGTACAAGTTTGCACTCCCACCAGCAGTGGAGGAGTGTTCCCCTTTCTCCACATCCTCTCCAACATAAGCTGTCATCAGAGTTTTGATCTTGGTCATTCTAATGTGTAGCCCAGGCTGGCCTCAAATTCTTGATCCCCCTTCCTCCGTCAGCAAATCCTACCAGCGTGTGCCCCCACAACTGGTGACCATCCCTACTTTTAGTTTTCTCTGTCCAATGAGTAGGTTGTGCAGACTGATCCCAGAGGTCCCCCCCCCAGCTCTAATATATTCAGCACCCTGCCTGGAGTGCAGGACCCTCATTGCTGGCTTTCTTGTAGAACTTGATTTGGGGGTCTCTGTGTTCTTAAGTTTCAGTCCCTCCCGCCAGCTTCTGCAGAAGTGTTAAAAGTTGCTCTTTTGGAAATTGCATGTTACTCACTGGAAATGCAGGAAGGAAGCTTCAGCGTGAAGTGTACTCATAAGAAAGAAAAAAAAAAGCACACACAGAGCAAGAAACCACAGGGCCTATCAGTCTGTCGTCATCAAGCAGACTAGAATAGAGTAGAGAACTCTAGGCAGAGAGGAAATGAGCTAGAGAGAAGGGGGAACAGGCTCAGGAGAGAGGAGAGAGGGCAGAGGCAATGGCAGTGTGGCACTGAAGCCTGCGATGGTCAGGATGGAGGAGGCGGCGGTGAAGCAGGGCTTCCTGCTTCTGCAGCAGCAGCTGACCTTTGGCAAGGTAAGAGCAAGGCTGGGCTCGGGCTGGGCAGAGCAGCTGCGGGGAGGGTGTTGTCACTTCCTGGGGTAGAGGGGATCTTAATGTCCCTGACCCTCTGGAGACCATGTGCTCCACCAATTTCCACAAGAACTTGGGGAAGATGCCCACCTTCTTAAGGTGCCCGCTAAACGGGCCCCAAGTGACCCTCTTTGGCAAGGGCTGTTTGTTCTCGAGTGTGGGGAGGGGAAGGAAGCAGATGCTGACTTCATCTCTTTTTTTTTTTTTTTCTTGCTCATTATTGGATTTGGGGGTAATGTGGAGGGGTATGGAAGGAAGAGTTAGGGGACAGTTTGGGATGACAGTGGAGGTTCCTTTTACCTTTGGCTGCCACTAAACTGTGATCCCAGGGTGTTCTAACTTCCCTCTTCCCTAGCCTCTCTGAAGGAGAAGGTCCTTTGCCTTCTGCTGTCGCTCAGTCGCCAGCTCTGTCTGTCTTGGTCTCTCTCTGTTTGTCCTTCATGGTCCAACTCCTTAATCAGTGAGACACAAGGGAAAGTCATTGGAAGTCCTTGGAGTCAGAGCCTCCCTGTGGGGTGAGGACTTGTCCCTGGTGGAGGCTTCTGTGACTCTGCAGGCTCTTCTCTCCAGCACCTGACAGGTGGCCTGCTGTCTTCCTCACTCTGCAGGCATAGGCCACGTACTGTGATCCTTGCCCAGCTTGCAGATCTTGGTCTCCTGGCTAATCTTTAATTCTCTCATTCCATGATCTCTGTGGTCTTCACCGCCTCTCTGTTCGTCTGTGATATGCGCCTCTGTCTCCCCGTCCGGGGTTGCTGCCCACTCCCTCTCCCACGGTTCCTCTTCTCCCTTTTGATGACTGTCTCTCCATCTCTGGTGGATCCCTCCTGGCCTCTACCTGTCACGCTGGGCTCAGAAGTGGCGCCGGTTCACAGCCGTGCTATATGGAGAGTCTGGCTGTGCCCTAGCCAGACTGGAGCTCCAAGATGGCCCAGAGAAGACTCGGCGAGGAGAGGCCACTCGGAAGGTTGTCCGCCTCAGTGACTGCTTACGGGTGGCCGAGGCAGGCAGTGAGGCCAGCAGTCCCAGGGACACCAGTGCCTTTGTCCTGGAGACCAAGGAGCGCCTGTACCTGCTAGCAGCCCCCTCGGCAGAACGCAGTGACTGGATCCAAGCCATTTGCCTGTTGGCTTTCCCGGTGAGGGGTACAAAGCAGCCCATGGGCACACAGGGGAGGGCAACATTAGATACTTCCTGTGGGCAAGTGGTTGAAGAAACAAAGGCTTTTAGGGGAGTTCTTCCTGTTGGGAACCCAATCTCAAGTGTAGTCAGAGCCAGCAGGCTGGGTGTTCATGGGAAGAATTTGGGTTGGGGGAGGCCTGGGGGTGGGTTTTGGTGGTAAGACCTGGGACCACCTCCTCAGGGGCAGAGGAAGGAGCCCCCAGGACTGGAGGAAAAGAATGACAGGCCCTGCATGGAGGAGAATGAATTGTATAGCAGCTCTACTACAGGTGAGGACTAGGATCCCAGGGCACTCTATCTGGGTGGAGGAGATGTGGGCTCGTTGCAGGGTCAAGTCTTCCTGTTTTGTGGTAACTGGGGGCCCTGCTTATCAGCACCTCTTCCTGGCTGCTTGGTGTGGCCCAAAGGTGGTTGGAGCCCAGCCTGCCCCTGTGACACCTTTGGCTCACCCTGTCCTGCCTGACAGAGGCCTAGGGCCTCGGTCTTGACCCTCTCGGGACTCGAGTGATTGTATGTGTAAAGAATAGCTTTAGCTTTCTGTCTGGGCTTGACTGTGCAGGTGTCCTGTGAATAGAGAATACAATGCTGATAAGGGAGGCCGGGTTCTTGCTTTGTGGGCTGGTGATGGAGACATGGGGGGGGAGAGAGAGAGAGAGAGAGAGAGAGAGAGAGAGAGAGAGAGAGAGAGAGAGAGACTGTTCCATTTAAGCTCCACCCATGGGATGGGTTGGGCTTCACCTGTAGCTGTACCAGCCGTGACTGGGGAAGAGTTGGAGCACAGAAAACCAAGCTGTGGCTCTGGCAACACTGGCAGGAAGGATGTGGGCCCAGAATTAGAGTGATGTGGCTGAGGGCATGAATAATGCCTTCTAGGGGAGAAGGGGGGGTCAGCAGCCCAGGCTTTAAGATCAGAGGTGGGGTCATAGGTCACACGAGGCAAGTTTTTCCTGAGAACTTCTGGCATGCTTGCTCACCTCAGATGGGCAGCGTGGAAGGAGGCCCACTGTTTCCTGTAGCTGCCTCTTTCCTTCTCTTCTCTTCCCCAGGGGTCTCCTGTAAGCAATATGCCGTGACCATGAGGCCCACAGAAGCCAGTGAGCGGTGCCGGCTCCGAGGGTCCTATACTCTCCGGGCTGGGGTGAGCTCCCTGGAGCTGTGGGGTGGCCCTGAGCCAGGCACACAGCTGTATGACTGGCCCTACAGGTTTCTTCGGCGCTTTGGTCGTGATAAGGTGAGTGAGGGGCTGACTGAGAGCAAAGATGAGCTACCTAAGAGGAACAGCCAGAAAGGGGCAGAGAAAGAGAGGATGGGGGTCTGGGGGGCAGCCAGAGAGACAGCTGGGGTGGGGGAATCGGGGAGGGGACAGGAATGAAGGCTAAGAGGTCTGGGCGAGGAGAGGGATGAGGTGGTAAAGGGCTGGGGAGGGCAAAGGAGTGGAGACACTTTTTGAATGTCAGTTCATGCAGGAGTGGAAGGAAGGGCAGGAGAGAGAGAGTGTTCCTGTCAGGAAGAAACAGTCGGCCAGGTGTAGTGGCATACAACTATAATGTCAGCACTAAGGAGACTGAGGCAGGAGACAGTTGGGGGCCCTGCCTGGGCTACGCAGTGAGAGCCTTTCCCCAAATAAACAACCAACCCCAACAAACGGGCAGAGGGACAAGAGCTTGAACACAAGTTTCTGGTAGAGGGGGGCTGGGGCCAGAACATCTATGTTTGGGAGGAGGTCCAGAAAACAACGGTGCCAATAAATGTCCTTCCCCTGTTACCACAGATGACGTTTTCCTTTGAGGCTGGCAGACGCTGTGTCTCAGGAGAAGGCAACTTTGAGTTTGAAACAAGACAAGGCAATGAGATCTTCCAAGCCCTAGAAGAGGCCATTGCTGCCCAGAAGAATGTTGCTCCTTCTGGGCCTCCACCCCTGCCAGCCACAGGGTCTATGATGCCCACATTGCTGCCTCGGCCTGAAAGCCCCTATTCCCGGCCCCACGACTCTCTGCCTTCTCCTTCCCCTGGCACACCGGTGCCCGGCATAAGGCCAGGGGGCCCTGAGGGAGAATATGCTGTACCCTTTGATACAGTGGCTCTTTCCCTGGGGAAGGGCTTCAGGGGCATCCTGAAAGGTCCTCGACGCCTCCTTCCTGATCCACTATATGACAGCATCCAAGAGGATCCTGTGGTCCCGCCACCTGACCACATATACGATGAGCCTGAGGGCATGGCTGCCCTCTCCCTATATGACAGACCACGGGAGCCTCGGGGGGAGACGTGGAGGGAGCAGGCCACTGCTGATGGGGGGCCCAGCCCCCTCCAGCAAGACTCCTCTGTGCCTGGCTGGCCACAGGTCACGGAATATGACAATGTTGTACTTAAGAAAGTCCCAAAGTAAGGTGGTGGCCAGGAGATGGGAGAGTGGTCCCCAGGGAGGTTTTTGGAAGCTATGGAGGGGGTTTCTGCTAGAGCTCTTTCGGTCACTGTGTATCCTGAGCCCTAGGGTTAGGCTGCTGTGTTTGCTTACTGTGTGAGTCACCAGCCCAGAGCAGGAAGAGGGCCCTGGAGGGACCCACCCTCCTCCTACGACTTTCCCACTTCCTCTCGCTGCCTTGGGTCTAAAGGGAACTTGGGCCATGTCTGCTAGGAGACAAAAGGAGTTCCACGGATGCTCTGGTTCCTTGGCTCGTGCAGGCCTCCTGCCTACAAATGTTCCCTTTCTGGGAGAACCCTGGCTTCTGGTTAGCAAGGAGGGTGACTGTCATCCCTCCATCTCCCAGCGTTTTCTAGTCATTAAACTAAATTGAACTACTTGTTTGTGGCCTGAATGCTGTGGGGTGGGATGGGTGCTTTGGCTGACTGACTGAGTACTTCTTCACTTAGCTGTGAGGTCTTCCCTGGGCTTAAACATTGTCTAGGCCTGAGAAGGTCTGGGTGCCCTGGGAAAGTGTTTATCTTAATGCTTTCTGTTCCTGTAACTGAATGCCACAGGCTAGGTAGTGGTTGTTGTTTGTTTGTTTTGTTTTGTTTTGAGCTCATGGATCTCCAGGTTGGGGAGTCCACAAACACAGAGTAGGCATCTAGTGAGGGCTTTTTTTCCTGCATGATAATACCACAGAGGTCACCATGTACCAAGAAGACAGCAAGTATACCAGAGAGAGAAAATCTGTTCCCTAGATAATGCACGGGGTCCACAAGTGGCTTAATTCATCCACGAAGGCGGTGCCCTCATTGGCCAGTCACCTCTCAAAGGCCCCACCTCCAAACCCATGTGCAGATAACGCTGGAGATTTTGTTTCCAACACATGAAATGTGAGGTCCACTCAAAGCAGGAAAATGCCCAAACATGTCTACTTTTTGCAAGGACAGAGAAATGACAGTGGACTTATGAAGCATTGGTGGAAAATCCGAATTTCAGGGAACACTTGATGTTAATATATATATATATATATATATATATATATATATTACATTCGCTTACTATTTTGTGCCACACTGGAGGTCAAAGCACAACTTGCAGGAGTCAGTTCTCTCCTTCCATCATGAGACTTCCAGGGATCGAACTCAGGACTGGTGACCTTTATCCAAGACTTGGAATTACTTATTGTGCCCTTCTGCACTAGGAGTAAGATTTGCCTGATGTGTGACCCTGGCCAACTGTCCATCTCTACCTCTCCTTTCCTGCGTGTTCGTGTACCACACTCACGCCTAGTGCCCACAGGGGCCGGAAGACGGTGTTGGATTTACAGACGGTTGTGAGCTGCCTCGTGGGTGCTGAGAACTAATCCTGGGTCTCCCTGAACGAGCAGCAAGTACTTAACTACCTACTGAGACATCTCTCCTGCCCCAGCCCTGCTGTTTATAAGTGAGGATGGCTGTGGCACCGTGGGAGCCAAAAGCCCTTCCAGCCCTGCGGTTTCTCCCAAACCCTCAGGGCTGGAGGCCCTGCTATGCCGGGTTTCCCCGCAGACTTTGTGTCCTTACCGTTTCTCTTAGGATCAGACCCTGAGCTGGTGGAGAGGAACGGTCAAGCCATCTTAGTCCAGCCAGTCCACGCAATGGCACACCACGTGTGTGAAGCTGTAGAATTAGTTCCCCAGCCTCGGGGTGTGAGAAGCTCAGAGAGACAAGGTACAGGCGACTGTCCTTGAGAAGGGGACATACGTGAGCACAAGGTTGCGTGCTTCGGAGAGACAGCTGTTGGGAGACCGAGAAAGGTTGCATAGCAAAAGGTGGTGTTTAAGGCGGGCCTTTCAGGGCTGGAAGGAGTTTGATGGTACTTGAGGGGTGTGGGAGGGGAGAACAGTGATGAAACTACAGAACGAGTCTGGAAGCAGCTGGGCACTCAGAGGAGGGAAGGCGCGGCACTATCGAATCCCTGGCCCATCGCCGTCCAGTTGGAATTTTGACTTAGTGTTAACATGAAAACAACACACATCCAGTAGAAAACACATTTGTGAATCTCTGCTCCTTTTCCTCAGTGCCGGGCTCTGGCAATGATCTCTCCCCAAGTCAGGTGCGTCGCATGCGATTTTGACTCAGGATAGCTTGGACACCGCGAGGTCTTTTCAACACCGAAACCCACCACAGGTGAAGGAGTGACATCTTCCTGGCAGATTCAGAATATGCTGTGGGGAAGCTGTCTCTAGTGAGAGAAGAAGGGGGTTAGGGGTCAAGGCTTTTGGATAAGGATTCCCACCGGGACATCCCCTTCAGGACAGTAACCCCCAGCAGCTCCGGGAGGTGGACGTTAGGTCATCTGATGGAAGGGCTCCCTGAATCCAAAATGTGTTACAGAGTTAGCTCCGGTGGCGTGGGTGTCTGCTCGATGTGGCCCAGGAAGAAGGGCGGCTTCCAGCCAGAACTTGGCTCCTCACACACTGAGATTAAGATGGCCTCAGTATGTGCAGCCAGAGCCGGGCTGGAGCGAGAGGAGGAGCTAGAATCCAGGAGAGCAATGGGCAACAGACACACAGATGGATGCCCTCAAGGCCTCAGGTGTGTGGCCACCGAAGTTTTGTTTTCCAGTAGCTTTTGTCACTTCCTGGAGGAGTCAGTAAGCTGGTGTGGGTGAGGCTTCTCGGCCCCTTTTCTCTGTGCCCAGGCTTGCATCCCGTCTGAGTTCCAGGATCGTGTGGGTTCAATTCTGCAAGAGGCCCCGGCTCCTCAGGTTATGGGTGAAGAGCAGTGGTGCAGGAATGGGGTAGATGCATCTCAAAGCAAAGGAGGCCACATTACAAGTTTCCTCATGTGGCACGTGATGTGGCCATCCTGGACATGCCCAGCAGGGGGCAGTATCAGCCCGTGGAAGCTGCAAGCAGTGGCTAAACTTGCCAGGCGTGGTGGGTGCCTAGTCTTGAGGGACGAATTTCCCTGCCTGACGCGTCTGGGGACAGTTTCAGAGTCTGCCTTTTAGAGCGGGTCCCTTTTAGATACTCAGGATTCCACTCCGGAAGTTTAGACACGCTTTCAAGATACGGGATTCTGAGCCGATTCCTGTCCCATTGCGCCCTTCACTTTTAAGAGAGAACTTTCTGGTTGCTCTACTCTGAGATCACGTGGTCTCACAAGGGGAAGTGGTGGACAGCTTGACTGGGGAAAAGAGGGGTGAAGGCTGGCAGATGCGGAAGTAGAGCATTTAGAGAAGCTGGGAGGGGCAATGAACGTCTTTAGAAGGCTGTTGGGGAAACGCTGACTCGGCTTTCAGTGCCCTCTGAGAGGAAATGAGCCAGTGGGCGTGCCCCATTCTGCAAGGGAGCTATGAGTGTCTTCTAGCCAGCTTTAGCTGCGGCTGTGGCGCCATGATGTGTGCATCATTCATTCAGCAAACACAACATAGCATCTTCCAATTGTATGTTTCCCTTACCCAGAAGCTGGGATTCTGGAAGGCTCCAAAGCCTCAGACCCAACTCAAGAAGTTCGTAGTGGAGCATGGAGCAGAGAGCACTACTGATGGTGGGCCCGTGAAACAAGCAGCGTGAGAGAGCTCAGGCAGATACTTGGAGGCAAGGGCTCCTTGATGAGCTGCTGAGCCATCTAGGCTGCTAGGAGCAAATTCATAGGTAAGGAAACAGCAATGGAATTGCAAAGGGCATCAGCCTGGAGAGGGTCTCTGGGCTCAAGGCAAGCTGCTTGGTACCCGTTGATATCACGAGAAGCTTAGCTGTATCTAAGACACTTGTAGATGGCCTTAATATTTTAATTGCAATCATAGGTTGCTTAATGAAGGGACCTGCTCTGAGAAATTTGTTACTACCCATTGTCACCACTGAATTTTATACCTAGATGACATCTAACTGCATACCTAGGGTATATGGTGTGTGGGTATGTATGCTTATATATATATTAATATATTTGCTATATAGTAAATGACATAAATACATGTATATGCACACAATGTATAAATTATATTATATAGTATTCACATTATACCTATAATATTTATATTTTATATATATGTATGGCATAGCTTGTTTCACTTAGCATACAAACATGTAGAGCTTGTTTATGTGTGGAATACTACATGTAATGATAATGCAATGGTATTTATGTATATAAACATCCAAGCATAGAAGAGGAACCATAAAATGCCAGGCAGTTGTGTGGTGGCTTGAACCTTTAAGAGGCAGAGACAGACAGAAATGTGTGAGTTCAACAGTTTTCTGGTCTACAGAGTGAGTTCCAGGATAGCCAGGCTACACAGAAAAACCAACCAACCAACCAAGCCAAGCAGGGGGAATTTTTTTCATCTTTAATCTTACAGGTTTTATATACAACTTGCTGTTGGCTGAGAACTTCACTGTGCAGTGGCATCAGGGTAGGTAGGAACAGCAGGTCCCCAGCTTACAGGTTTGTACCCAGATTCATGACTGCCCACGTGCAATGCCATTCTTTCTCCTTCTTTTCCTCCCCGACTCCCATCTTTTCCCACTGTTCCTACTTCCTCCAGAGTGTACAAGCTCTGTGTGTGTGTGTTGGGTGTGATCTGCATAAACGTCCCCCATGCTTACACTGGGGGTGTCTCAGGAGGTTCCACTACAGATTTCCAGCATCTAGGAAGATCCCAGATTGCTTGGGCCTCTCTGGCTCGCTCAGGCTCCTCCCTGGTGACTCCACTCAAGCTGTTGCTGCCAGCGCTTTTCATCTGTGATGCTAACCAGCCTCCTGCCTCTTGCCTCCTGGGCGCTGATTCAATTAGCCAAGGTGCCCACCTCCTGCAAGGACCATTTATAAAATCCAGCGGGGCAGCTGCAGACCTCAGGGCTCGGGGTGGGGGTATGAGCCGAGAGGAGGAGGCAGAGGAATGAGGCCTGGGAAGGGTGTCTGATCCGATTAGGTGTCAGGCTGGCTTCCCCCTGGCAGGAGGCTGTACATCACTGCTTGGCTGCGGTCCTCTACTGTCCAGCGCAGAGCAGAGTCCGTCAGTCTCCTAGCGGTCGCCAGGGTTGGTGGAGACAGGGGAGTGGTATGCAGATTGCTTGCAACACCTCCATGTCTGTAGAGTGCTTGGGGCAGCTTCTTCTTGTGGGTTGGGCACATAGGCTGCAGTGTGGTTACCTGGGTTCAGTGGCAGCTGCGTCCTTGGCACACGCATCAGTTTTAACCTACGCACCGAAAAGGAGAGGGTAACATTACACTTCTTTGAAGTTTATGGAAAAGATGAAAGGAACAAATGAACGAGTAGCTTCCAGGACAGTGCCTGGTACATGCGGAGCTCTGGTGTCACCCACAGTCTCCTTTGCACCCCCAGCATCCCCCCAAAGCAGCAGACAAGTTATTCTCATCTTATTAACCAGGTCATTAGGTCGTAG